CCAGGGCCTGCTTCTCCCACCACTGACATGAGCAAACAGGATCAGGCCCTTTTTTGGTTGGTTTGGTCCTTAAATTAAAATAAGTCTCTGAAAAAAAAAAAAAAAAAACACCCAGCAGCAAAACCCAAGTGTGTGCAACACAAGAAATGCTTATTAGACATTCTTATTCCAACAAAGGGCTACTGATTTGCTGTTTACCTTTTATCTCCTTGTTGCAATGCAAGAGGTTTCCTTTAAAAAAATACTTAAATCAAGCAAAGCCCATCATGTTTTTTTCTGTCTGCATACTTTTCAGAAGACAGAGAAGAAAACCTGTGGGCCAGGTACACATTGCGTAAAATTTAAATAAGGTGTGGAAATGAAGTGAAATTTTCCTCTAAACTACACCTGCGTAAAAGACATATTCTGTCATTTCCAGCTTGCCTTGAACTAGATCATCCTCCGCCTAACTCATAGGATACAGGACAGAGCTATGATATTCAGAAAATATTTGCAAGAATTCTCTTCTGGAGATCAGAGAGTCACCGAGTTCAGCACGAAATGGCGAGGTGGTATAAAGTAGACAAGTGCATTTTATTTACCTTCTTAGGCTCATAGACAGAAATCTATCCTGGTATATACAAGGTAGAAGGAGAATTTAGAAGGTACAAACCAACCTCATGCCTTTAAAAGATGCATCAGACTGTAGCATCATCCCTTGCTTAACACAACTAAACTGAATATTCAGATTTTTAACCATTCTGTAGACTGAGCCTATTCAACTACCAAGTGCTCTGTATTTGGTTTTTGACAGTCTGGTTTTGGGTTTTTTTTCCTTCACTGGACTACTTCAATTTGCTGACGCTTTTCTAGCAGTGAGGTGCCTGCAGTGGGATAGTGTACTTAGAATGGGAATATTAAGCCATGCAGAGGACTTGCTGGCTATGAGCTTCCTGAACTGACACTGAGCAATCCACATTAAAATCAAGCTGTAGTTGAAAATAGCTGTTTCCCTGCCGCTTTTGCACATTTTACATATTATCTTGCAGGACTGAGCACTGGTTAGAAGATTTCAAAATTGCAGGATAAACCTTAAGAAGTGATGCATCCAAATTCTAGCATAAACAGAATTCGATTTTAAAAATACCCTCATGCTGAAAATACTCAACTCACTATTTCTAAATACTACTTGATGTAGTACTCCACATGCTACACTGAGCATATTTCCATTCTTTCTCATTTCATGCAGGGAGGTCAGACAAGATGCATTTTAATGAAGCAGGTCCAATTAGTTGTTCAGAAACAGATCCTGACTCTTCCCGTCTTTGACATTACTCCCTCAGACCCAACCTTAATGCACAAAACAAGATGCGACAGCAGGCCCTATCCAGTAGCAGCAAAGGTCACGTGTTTGCAAGTATAACCCATTACAACTGCTTTGGATACTTAATGCTCTGAGCAGTATAAACCTAAAACCTGCAGTTAGTAGGCTAAGATGGTCATCTGATCTACCAGCGCTACCTGCCTTGTTGATTTGGGTTGCAAATTTTGTCCGGTGGCCAAGCTGTCAATTGCTGCCTGCCTCAAGCTCCTAAGACCTTTAATATTTACACTTTTGCAAGTAGACATATAGCATAGGTATGCGTTTACCTGTGCTATTTTTTTGTGAATTTGACAGGTAGGATTCTTGTGTCAGGCAGAGTGCAGTCAAGAGGATGCAAAGAACCTCTTTCTCATATGCTTATCAATATGCTTATTGCTGATCTATAGCATCCTGTGCATTTAGGGAGCAGGCCTTCCTCAGGCAGGGACTTCCAGCTAATACTTGGCTCCTCTGTTGCTTATACCATCAAAACAAACTGACAGTCTCACTTCCATTTATAACTTTAGTCTTCTCATTCCAGTTCCAGTCCTGGAGGTCGTCATCATTAGTATTACTTGAGTCCACTCAGTCCCCAAGCAAAGGCTAACCCATGTACATTTTAAGAGATGGTCCTTGACAGAAGAGCTTACAATCATAAGACATACCAAGTATGGGAGGCAGAAAGAGACACTACTCCCACTTCACACATGAGCAACTATGGCAGAAAGATAGTAAGAGATTTGTTCCCAGATAAACAGCTGGGATATTAATGCAAGTGCTTTCCCCTTAATACTACCTTTCCAAAATGGCTACATACGGTGTTCCTGAAACAGTGCACTCAGCGCTTCACGGCTAATTTGGAATGTCACCAGTCCACAATAACCAGCTTAATCACAACAAATTCTCATGGATTATCCATGGGCTCCCACTCAGAAAGAAAAGGGGAGGAAAAAAAAAAAAAAAAAAAAAAAAAAAGAAGAATGCAGCTAATTGGACTTTATTCTTTGAGTTTTCAAACGATGACTCTAAAGGTGGAAAAAAGAAAACCCCAAAATGTTTTTCTCTTACAAAATTTCAGTGTCAAGCTGTGTGCTAAGCCACAGTGATATACTAAAAGAAACAAAACTATTTCTTTCAGAGTCCAGAGAAATTAGCATGACCAAAAATATTTTTGGAAGACTTTTCTGAGCCATGAGTAAGATTTTCATCCAGCTAGTCTTAGTCTCCAAGCGTTGGTAGGTCCATTAGGACAGTGCTACATTACGCTCATATTCCAGGGACAGGCCAGTAGAAGCATTTCATTAGCGATAGCTGCAGCGCAAGGAGTTTCTTTCTGTCGTGGCCTTTGTCTCTTGCATTTTCGTAAAGCCCTGCTGGGGCCCGCTTCAGATTCCTATCTGACAGTCAGTCGGTAATGTAAGAATGAACATACAGCAGACTAATTGGAAACACAGAGCAAATGTTACAGGTTAGCTAGCTAGTGGGACTTTTGCCTTCCTTTCTCCCCCCCACCCTTTTTTTTTTTTCCCCCCTTTTTTTTTTTTTTTTTTTAAATGATTTCCCTCCCCCCGATCACTCATTTGCTCCCTGGAGATCACCAATGGCAGCTGCAGGGGTTGGTAGGAGGAGGGCAGAATAAGGCTTCCAGAGGCTGTTAAACAACTGGAATTATCAAGTAACTTGATGCCCTTGTCTAGGTTTTAATCAGATTGTGCAACTACCCCTTGTAAGCTGAAGTGGACTCTGCAACATCAAGCGTTTCAAACTGTGGCTAATTGCACAGAAGTCCACATCACTAGATTTCTCCTCATCTCCTACTCCTGCAAAATAAACAACATGCAGAAAGAACCACATAGGAATCCTCCAATTCACAAAGAAGGAGGAATGTACAGAAATGTTCTCCTTGATTCTGGCTAAGACTCCCCTCTGCAGCACATAAGACACAAAGTTTTAACAAGTTAAGTCTAAAATTAGACACATTTATCTCATTACGTGGCTGTTTCCTAGCATTCGTCCTGCACACAAAGCTGCGAGGGTCAGTCTGGGCTATTTTCCCAATCCGTGACCAAAACTTGGACTCTCTCACATTTGGACACTCTTTTTCCTTGCTCAGCATACCATGCCGCAGCCTCTCTACTCTATCTGTCCCAGTCTCTTTCCTTATGAGCCACAAATAAACTATCCCTAGACTCCCTTCTCTATAAGCCAAAACCAAACCACTCCTAGACTCCCTTCCCATCTTCTTTCTACAAGCCTCGTCTCCCATTCTGCACCTCAGCCATCAGCTTTACTTCTTTTTTCCAAAAGCCCCCTTGGGCCTTTACTTTGAAGACCTCAAGATCCTTGAATGCTGCTACCTCTAGATTTCATGAGCCCCAGCAGCACACATATGCCTCGTGTGCATGAATTTTGAGTTGGACAGCAATCATCAACAGGCAAAGCAAATGACCCAATACAGCAGCTATAAGAAAGAGTACCTATAGAGGAAGCCCTTGCAATTGGAGGCACAGACACTCTGAAAAGCAAAAGAATGCTGAGGCAAGCTAAGGAGAAGTGCCCTCTGGCTTTAGCACTGTAGCTACTTCGTGGCCACCTTTTCCTACTTTTAGTCCATGGTCCCGGTTAATGTTCAAATTAGACAAATAGAGATTACCGTGAGAACTAAGCCAAATAACACAGTGTTCAATAACTGGGGAATTCCTATGGCAGGGGACACATTACACAAGAATTTCCAAGAGCTATAGAAATGGGAAAACAGAGGCACAAAAGGGAACGTTGTGAAGGGGAGGCATTGGGCAGGTTGTTGGAGGGCTGCAGGGAGCAATATGCTCCTGTAGGAAGCCCCACATTACTCATGTGTTCTAGTTCTCAAAAGCAACCAGAACATTGGATCCTATTTGAAAAGTTAAAATTTCATGCGTTACCTCCCGCTGGCCTCTGTAGTGCATTAAGCTCTTTTACGATTCCTTGAATATTTTAACAGCTCTTTAGGATCCCTCAAAACACACTAACAATCTTTGGGCACAGGAGTACACTTAACCCCATACAAAGTGGCCTATATAATTCAACCAAAACTTACAAATACTGAGACTAAAAGAATACTAATTGGAAATGGGATATGTTATCTACTAGGTATTACAAGTTAAAGTTTCCCCTTCATCATGAATATTTTATGAGAAATACAGAATAAAGCTGGTAATGATGACAAATAAATCCAGGGGCCCATTGTGTCGCAAAACTTTTTTTGTTTGTTTGTTTGTTTAAGTATATGCCCCTTCATAATCCACATTTCCCTGTAATGTATTTGAGCAACTTTGCAATCCTCACTTCAAAGATCAGGGAGAGGCTTGGGAAAATGGTATCAAGAGGTGTGTGGTTTGTACTATAGTTTACTTAAAAGCAGAGACTTGGAATCAAACCCTGGCAAACACAGTTAACGCACTTTTGGAAATTTAATGCTGTTTTCTTGTTGGTTTGGGGTTTTTATTTTTGTCAACTGCTTCAATAGTTTAAAAAGCATGTCACAACTTATAGTGCCACCTAGTTTCTAACCAAAAGGTTACTACCAGGTAGTAAAGCTCAATCTGCTTTCACACAGTGTCCTTTAACGTTTCAAGGAACCAAAAGGGGAGGAAGGGTTCAGTGTGCTCACACTCACCCTTTTGTTGTTCTCTTCTTCTTGTGCCTTCCTAAACTCGTGCTCTAGGGAGCAATCGATGTCGTTGAAGAGGCCCACTTCCTCACAGTTCTTCAGAAAGCGTGTTGGTGTAGGAGTCTGATCTGAGAATATGACAAGAAATGATCATTGGTATTTAACATTAAAAGGAGAGGGAGACCATTAAATAGTCTTCCAGGAAAAGAGAGGTTCTAGCTAACCTCCCTATGCCTTCCCACCCCTACCACACCATCATTAAAAACAAACCACACAGCACTGAATTTTGACACTATGCACTGCAGGCAGGCAGTGCTTGCCAATGGTGTCTGAAAACAGGCAGCAGTCATCATTCAACCAGAAAGACAGCAGGCCAGGTTTTCACAGGGCATGTAACACAAGTGCATAGCCTTAACATGTGCAAATGGTCGTTAGAACTGTCTATAAACCTCCAATAATAGCTGCATGCAAAACAACGCACAGTGCATATGATAATGCACGTTTACACCATGGCACGCAGGTAACCACTGCAGATATGCACTAGTTAATGCCTTCAAGTGCTTGAAAACCACCTCAAACATACGCCTACTTTGCAACACACATGAAGTTAGCCACAGCAAGAAGTAGTTCTGCTTCTAATGCAATTTTTGAAGGAGGAGAGAAATAACACTTAGAAAAGCTGTGAAATGTTAAACTTTGACCAGGAAGAAGCATCCTTATGTGTTTTATACCTAGAAGTGTTGATAATATGTATAAAACCACAGGATTTGGAGTCAAAAGATTTTTAATGCATGCCTTCATCTCTAGGAATTTTTTGCCCTCTCAAAAATAATTCAGGGAAGGCTAGGATTCTCTTTAACACCACAGGCAGGAGGGACTCAAGAAGGTACGAGGCTTTCAGCCTTCTGCAAGACAGACAAGCTCTACTGCCCTGTGGACTAAGTTGTTTCAGGGATGACCTTGCCTAGTCTTTCTTTAGGAAGTGAAAAATCAAGCCCAAACTTGGGAACCAAGGACTCCTCAAAAGTCAGCTCTGAGGCAGCTCCATTCACTCTGAGTCAAGTTCTTAACTACTCCACTTGAGCTTCCCCATCCCCCCAAAATTACAATACAGAACTGTATTAGCAAAAGCAGGAGAGAATCCATATGGTCCTATCAGCTTTACACACATTTAAAAAAAATTTTTTTTTCAATCCTCTTTTGCACATTAGTTCCTTCTTCCCAAGCCACCATTCCAGATTCCATCTTCTGCAGAGTCATTGACAACTATCGTATTGTCTGAAATTCATTCTTTAAAGAATGAAAACTCTATCATACTAATCCCAGTTGCCTATATTGGGCCAATTCTGACCTCAGAAAAAAAGCTTCCCCCATCAGTGAGTTCTGGAAGAAAAATTTTATTTCTTGCACCTAGCTAGGCTGGGTCAAGTTCTAATATTTCCCCCTTACAGGGAACAGTTACCAGACACAATGAACTTTACAGGATCAGCATAGAAACACACAGCCACCCCTAAACAAAAGGCAGCATAAAAGGAATGCATACAAAAGCAAATGCAGTTTCCGCTTGGAAATTAAGGGGGAGAATCAGCCTTTTCCATTATAAAACCAACTAAGGCCAATTTCCACCTGTATCAGGTGTGGTCCTACAGGCTTTACCTTCAAGTAATCTAAGGGCAAACACACTCACTTGCATTTATATTTCTGATGGAACATACTGACGTAACATAAAAAGCAAGTCCTTAATGATAAAATGCTCCTTTATTTCTTTTGGCTTGAGCATCATACTTGTGAGCTTAAAGGAAACAAAACTCAAGTGTTTTGGGAATGCATACATATTTATCTATTAGTTTTCACAGCTAACTACTGTATTACCAGAGTCAGAAACATAAGACTTCCCAAGAATCTTGCAAGATCTCAGAACAAGGAGCTGAGTCAATGAGGTGCTGACATTGATGGGAGCCGAGGACACTCAGCACTTTACACGTCCACATCCTAATAAGTAGTGCCAAACCAATCTCTAGGGTAACCTCACTGAACTCAGTAGATTTACACCTTTGGCCCTTGGACTGGAATTTGTACCAGAAATGAAGTGCACTAGAAAGCAGGAGAAATAGATTTTATTTCCAAAAAGGATTAAATGGATTCAGTGAACAACACAATTGCTTTGTAGAAAAACAAAGATAATTGTTGTCAAGCCTTGGTGGACATAAAGGGCATGTTAGTATTTGAATGTGAGGCAAATACAGGAAATGTTTTCTTTTCAGAAGTGGTATGTCCATATCAAATAAGCAAGGTATCAATTTCCTGACCAAGATGAGAAACTAGGGTTTCATAAAGAAGTTGATGGCACCACTTTCACTAAAATAAAAAATCTCTTTTTTTTTTTTTTTCCAGAGTTGCTTGAGCCCAGAATTTGGGGGGTAGGGCGGAAGGGAACACACTCACATAGATAAGGTCTTGTTATTTTTCATCAAGGTACACAGCTGATCCAGAAATCAGGCATTGCTACAACAGACTGCATTAGGACAGAGGCAACTTAATGATCAAGGTCGTGATCAGGAACGTGTAGCTGAAGTTCCTGATCTGTTCACCATCTATTCCATGAATGTGAGACAGACCAAAAAAAAAAAGTTTTGTCAGTGAAGTAAATCCATTTTAACAGTGAAAACAAGCAACCCAGAGCAAGAATGTGACTTCAAATGCACAAAGGCCTCATCAGCTTTTCTCTGCACATGGTTAAAGTATATCTTTTGTACCACAGCAGTCTGAGATAATCATGTGTTGCCTGCAGTTTATCTTTCCAATTAACTTCTATATTACCTTAAGCATCAAAGCTGACAGATCAGTGACACCATTTACACCACCTACACATTGACAGTGATCTTAAATTACTACCTCAGTCTCCCCATACAGTTACTGCAGTTTCTACAATCCAGACATTGGACTGGCAAGAATTCAGAACAAGATTTTGTTAAAACAGACAGCCCCCCTTCTCCTCCCAATTAGGAGGGAGGAGCAGGGAACACCATCAACCACCCAGCCTAAACTCCATCCACAGACCTTCTAGAAGCCAGTTCAGACAGATGTAAACCAATAGCTGCCTTTCTACCTTATAATACTTCATCCTTCAACATTCATAGAAACCAGAAGTCCATGAAACCACTGTGTTTGTATGACAGCAGAACCGATAAAGATCCAGACTTTAAAACATTGAGACTTTACATAGTACAGTACTACATTGCACATACACTGCACTCACTGGTTTCAGAACTTCAGGGCTATCAAGTCCAGTGGGCTTTATGTGCTCCTGAGGCAACCAACTATTTTGCCCCTGCAAAACACCAGTTCTCCCTCAGGAGGTGGGCAAACTAGCAGAAAATGTTACTCTCAACACCACAGTAATCCTTTTACCCAAATTAGGCAAGCTCTTGTGTTTTAATTGGGAACGATATCACAAGGGAAACCCTCGCATGTTACACATTCAGGTCTCCCAGAATTAATAAAATATTCCTAATTCTCAGCACTTAAAAATGCATTAATAGGTCCAACAGCTTGTGCCTGACCTCACTGTTCCCTGTTGGTACAAACAAACCTTTTGTTGCTATCACCAGCGCCCAGAACTATTGCACACTCACTGAGAGCAGGGCTCTGATTTGTTGTACTTCAGCAACTGGATGTGCCAGACCCATCTGGCCCAAAACTCA